AGGATTGTGTTGCAGTGACGCCGGGAGGATTGTGTTGCAGAGTGACGCCAGAGGGGGGGAATGTGTTGCTGAGTGTGCATCATTTAATGAGTGCCGGGGGAGGCGCCAACATCACCTGTAACTCCTGAGTTACACTCAGAGGACCAGGGGTGCCATCAGAGAGAGGTGGTGTGAGGGGTAGAGGAAGACCTTGAGCCACTGGGCGCCCAGGCGCGCCTCGCTACTCTCTCCTCTCCTCCTTACTGCTACATCACTCCTCTAGTCACAATACCAGTATTATAGTCTCATGTAACTGATACCAAAGTTATAGACCAAATCACATAATTATATTTAATTGTTGTGATGCGAGAAAAAGGAAGTGGTGGCAACCCAGGAACCCAGAGAAGGTCCCAGCACCACCACTGGTGGCCCAGTGTTGGTGGTGGTGGTGGTGGGTGTGCTTCACTCCTCTCGGCCGTGTGCGGCCTGGCCCAGTTGTGAGGTATTATGTGTGAGGGAGTGAGGGAGGCAGGCCGGTGAGATAGGTCCTTACTGTCCTCTTGAAGTCACCCAAGTGCTGTGGATATTACATATATTTTTTCTGGATACTGCGTGAAGGATTCCCACAATGGACTTTCTCTCTCTAAGGTGAGTGTTTCTGAGTATTTAAGAGTGATTTCAGAGTGGCACTCTCGGTACAAGTGTGCTTGTTAAGAGCACTACAAGTTATATTCCAAGTGTGTGGGAGCAAGAGAGTGCCAGACGAGGTCATTAAGGGCCGCGAATGACCCCATCTGGGACCAGAGAACAAGTCACCTGGTTAGGTTAGGTTAGGCTAGCCTAGGCTAGGTTAGGCTAGGCTAGGCTAGGTTAGGCTACTACCCTTATGACACACATGTTAATGTCGTCATGGCTGTCAAGCGTACACCACCTTGTTACGTCACGTGTCTGTCATTAACAACATCGTCCACGTGTGTGTGTCTACCTGTCATGTTGTACTTCATCTCAGTAAGGCACAGGTAAAGTGTCCATGGGTAAGGAATGGAGCGGGGACGTGTCCACTCAGCGTGTGACAGTCACACGGTGAGTGGGTGACTGTCAGTCTGGTCGTTACGGCTACTGACTGTTGAACAGCTTGATTCAGGAGATGTTAAGTTGGAGCGGGTTGTGGTGTGCCCACTCTCGTTACTGTTGACCGCTTTCCTGCGTCTGGCGAGCACTCTCTCTCTCTCCACCCCTGCCACACTCTCTCTCTCTCTCCACCCCTGCCACACTCTCTCTCTCTCCACCCCTGCCACACTCTCTCTCTCTCCACCCCTGCCACACTCTCTCTCTCTCCACCCCTGCCACACTCTCTCTCTCTCTCTACCCCTGCCACACTCTCTCTCTCTCCACCCCTGCCACACTCTCTCTCTCTCCACCCCTGCCACACTCTCTCTCTCTCCACCCCTGCCACACACTCTCTCTCTCCACCCCTGCCACACCTCTCTCTCTCCACCCCTGCCACACACTCTCTCTCTCCACCCCTGCCACACTCTCTCTCTCCCCTGCCACACTCTCTCTCCACCCCTGCCACACTCTCTCTCTCTCCACCCCTGCCACTCTCTCTCTCTCTCTCTCTACCCCTGCCACACTCTCTCTCTCTCTCTACCCCTGCCACACTCTCTCTCTCTCCTCCCCCTGCCTCCTCTCTCCACCCCTGCCACACTCTCTCTCTCTCTCTACCCCTGCCACACTCTCTCTCTCTCTCTCCTCCCTGCCACACTCTCTCTCTCTCTCCCCTGCCACACTCTCTCTCTCTCTCCACCCCTGCCACACTCTCTCTCTCTCTCCACCCCTGCCACACTCTCTCCTCCCACCCCTGCCACACTCTCTCTCTCTCCTACCCCTGCCACTCACTCTCTCTCTCTCTCTCTACCCCTGCCACACTCTCTCTCTCCACCCCTGCCACACTCTCTCTCTCTCCACCCCTGCCACACTCTCTCTCTCTCCACCCCTGCCACACTCTCTCTCTCTCTCCACCCCTGCCACACTATCTCTCTCTCTACCCCTGCCACACTATCTCTCTCTCTACCCCTGCCACACTATCTCTCTCTCTACCCCTGCCACACTATCTCTCTCTCTACCCCTGCCACACTATCTCTCTCTCTACCCCTGCCACACTATCTCTCTCTCCACCCCTGCCACACTCTCTCTCTCCACCCCTGCCACACTCTCTCTCTCCACCCCTGCCACACACTCTCCACCCGTGCCACACTCTCTCCACCCCTGCCACACTCTCTCTCTCCACCCCTGCCACACTCTCTCTCTCCACCCCTGCCACACTCTCTCTCTCCACCCGTGCCACACTCTCTCTCACACCGTGCCACACTCTCTCCACCCGTGCCACACTCTCTCCACCCGTGCCACACTCTCTCCACCCCCTGCCACACTCTCTCCACCCCTGCCACACTCTCTCCACCCCTGCCACACTCTCTCCACCCCTGCCACACTCTCTCTCTCTCTCACCCCTGCCACACACTCTCTCTCTCCACCCTGCCACACTCTCTCCACCCCTGCCACACTCTCTCTCTCTCCACCCCTGCCACACTCTCCACCCCTGCCACTCTCTCTCTCTCTCCACCCGTGCCACACTCTCTCTCCGCCCGTGCCACACACTCTCTCTCTCTCCACCCCTGCCACACTCTCTCTCTCTCCACCCCTGCCACACTCTCTCTCTCTCCACCCCTGCCACACTCTCTCTCTCTCCACCCCTGCCACACTCTCTCTCTCTCCACCCCTGCCACACTCTCTCTCTCTCCACCCCTGCCACACTCTCTCTCTCTCCACCCTGCCACACTCTCTCTCTCTCCACCCCTGCCACACTCTCTCTCTCTCTCCACCCCTGCCACACTCTCTCTCTCTCCACCCCTGCCACACTCTCTCTCTCTCCACCCCTGCCACTCTCTCTCTCTCCACCCCTGCCACACTCTCTCCACCCCTGCCACACTCTCTCCACCCCTGCCACTCTCTCTCTCTCTCTCTACCCCTGCCACACTCTCTCTCTCTCTCCACCCCTGCCACACTCTCTCTCTCTCTCTACCCCTGCCACACTCTCTCTCTCTCTCCACCCCTGCCACACTCTCTCCACCCCTGCCACTCTCTCTCTCTCTCTACCCCTGCCACACTCTCTCTCTCTCCACCCCTGCCACACTCTCTCTCTCTCCACCCCTGCCACACTCTCTCTCTCCACCCCTGCCACTCTCTCTCTCTCTCCACCCCTGCCACACTCTCTCTCTCCACCCCTGCCACACTCTCTCCACCCCTGCCACACTCTCTCCACCCCTGCCACACTCTCTCTCTCTCTCCACCCCTGCCACACTCTCTCTCTCTACCCCTGCCACACACACTCCACCCCTGCCACACTCTCTCTCTCCACCCCTGCCACACTCTCTCTCTCTCTCCACCCCTGCCACACTCTCTCTCTCTCTCCACCCCTGCCACACTCTCTCTCTCTCTCCACCCCTGCCACACTCTCTCTCTCCACCCCTGCCACACTCTCCACCCGTGCCACACTCTCTCTCCGCCCGTGCCACACTCTCTCTCCACCCGTGCCACACTCTCTCTCTCTCCACCCGTGCCACACTCTCTCTCTCTCCACCCCTGCCACACTCTCTCTCTCTCCACCCCTGCCACACTCTCTCTCTCTCCACCCCTGCCACACTCTCTCTCTCTCCACCCCTGCCACACACACTCCACCCCCTGCCACACAGTGTGGTAACGTGTACCAAGAGAGCAACAAGAGAACTACCTCTCCGGTACCCATAATAATACACTGTTGTCAGACAATGGTGTCAGTGAGATCAGTGAGAGTGACTTCACTCTCTGCCAGAGTGGTGAGTGGCGCCCCACTACTGACCGGCGACCAGTTGGTGAACTGGAGCTGCCTTGATCCTCGCTATGAGGCCGTGTACTGTGCACCAGGCTTTGTACTGTGCACCAGGCTTTGTACTGTGCACCAGGCTTTGTACTGTGCAGCAGGCAATATACTGTGCACCAGACAGAGTTAGCAGAGAAGAATGAGCAGCGGAGGCGCTGGTAGTAGTGGTGGCGCTGCACAAGTGGTGCGGGGGACGTCCCCCTGTGTCCGGGGGGACACAGGTGGGGCGGGGGGACGTCCCCCTGTGTCCGGGGGGACACAGGTGGTGCGGGGGGACGTCCCCCTGTGTCCGCGGGGACACAGGTGGGGCGGGGGGACGTCCCCCTGTGTCCGGGGGACACAGGGACGTGTGGAGGACAATCCCAGGTGTGACAGCCAATCGAGACGGCTTTGACACAGTGCTGGGAGCAGGTGTGGACCATCTCCTTCCGGATCAGATAAATGGCTGTCAACTGGTGCGGAAGGCTGCACTCACGGTACTTGGTGACACCTTGATGCAACATTCACGGTACTTGGTGACTGCTAGATGTAACATTGACGCCTTCTGTATGTAATGAGTTTCATCTCCCTGCCCCCGCCTTCCCCCGCCCTCCGCACCACCACTACCCACCACTACCCACCACTACCCAGCACACGTATGGCCTGTAATCCGTACTGTGATCTTAATGATCCGTCTACAGGCGTACATTGGCCAAGAATAAGGGGATGTGTCGATACCTGTGGGGTGGGAGGTATTATCCGATACAAAGGTCTACGTTGTGTTTACCAAAGTTGCGAGGAGGGATTGTTACATCCTAAGGCGTTGGCGATATTTTTTGTCACGTTTAGGAAGGTGCTATTGGAGAAGGACGGTGTGTTCTCTCTGGGGTTATATTTGTGTGCGAGACGTGTTAACTCTCTGTTGAGATGCCTTTGTGTAGGAAGAATGCGTCTCTCTCTCTCGCCTCGGTTTTATACTTGTGCAATTGATGTCCTTCAGAGGCTTTGTCGTGTGGAGGGGTTCTGGCTTTTTACATGTCGGAAGGTGTATGAGGAATTGAGTCCTTTCGTCGCCCCTGCTGTAGAGATTGATTGATTGATGAAGATTAAGCCACCCAAGAGGTGGCCCGGGCATGAATAGCCCGTAAGTGGTGGCCCTTTTGAGCCATTACCAGTATCACAAGATGATACTGGAGATCTGTGGAGGCGCAACTGCACCCTGCGTGACGGGAGATGTCTCCCGGACCAAGTGGTGACCAAATGGTGGTGAGACCTGCTGTAGAGGACGCGTCTCCTCATTTTGAGGTGTGGATGCTCCTCTCTTTGGATGGAGGTGTGGCGAACGGCCCATTTGAAGTTCCTTTAGCTCTATCGCAGAGAGAAATCCTGTATCAGTATTTACAAGAGTCGTTGGCGACTAACGAGCGTCTGCTGCTGATGGCGGGGATTAAGGATCATGCCGGATGTGACCTTTGTGAGCGGCTGGAGAACGTATTTCATCTGTTTTATTTTTACTCAGTTCGGTCGAGGTTGAGGGATTGGATGACTGGGACGATTGTGCGTTCGTGCGTCGTGTTACTCCTTTACGCATATTGATGTTTGGTGTTGAGGCTCGTTGTAACAGGGTCCGCAATACTGTATTTTGGGTTTTATCGGGTTATCTTTATTGCAGTCTCCGTGGTGTAGTGGTAAGACACTCGCCTGGCGTTCCGCGAGCGCTATGTCATGGGTTCGTATCCTGGCCGGGGAG